CTAATACTCAAAGGAACTAAAAACAGGGAAACTAAGAACTAACCAAGGAATCAGAACACTGGGGAATTACAGACAGGTAAAGACAAGCAGGGGCACAAGGAACAAAACTAAAAACCATATACAAAATCACCAAATACAATAACTAGACAAACTCAACTGAAACACTAGGGAGCAAAATACAAAAACAGAAGGTGGGATTCAAACACAGGACAGAAGGTACAAAGACAACCGGATGCTCAAGGTGTTGAGCCATGAGGCCAACAGAACAGGGGAAACTTAAAGACAAATATGAAGGACGGGATGACCAGCAATGCCTGCTGGCCAAACGGGGAAGGGACACAGAGTGACAACAGGGGCTGACCCTGACAGTATAAGGTTTAGGTTGGGGGATAATGGGGACGTCATCTGTCACAACACTCCCTCTCTTTCCTTGTTTACAGGATAATACTTCACAACTGTAATGTACATGGTTGAAATGACAATAAAAAGGCACTTGACTTGATAACCATGAGGTTCCTTATCTTTATGAAACATACATATATATATAAAAATTTACTGTGTCCAGACTTTTGACTTGTACTGTATCTTTATACTAATATACTAAATAAGTATGAAGCTCATCATTAACCAATCAGAAAGACATTTGTAATCTGTTTTCCATTCACATTTGATGGCTTAGCCAAGAGTTTCATCCAAAGCCTATTTTTACTCGCTTACACAGCCATATATTTTACTGGGGCTGCTCGCAGGAGACTACAGCAGACCTCTTCCTGGGATTTGGAGCAGTACTATTTGGGTTACAAATCTACGTTTTTATCTCCACCATCCTGCTTTTTCAAGTCTTTAACTTTAAAAAGGAACAGAATAATTAGACAGAAAACAACTGGTTATCTTCTTTTCTGCAGGAGGATGAATGTTTACATTGGCATTTAAAAGCAATACAATTTAATTTCTCACAAGTGTTATAGTTTTTGTTCTAGTACATAAGTATCTCTGTTTTTCACTATCTCTCCTGAACCGTTTTGGTAATGACCTATTTGCTTGGGTTAGGTGTAAATGGGTCCTTTATGTGTATATATATATATTAGCTGTCAAAGTTAACGGGTTAACGCGGATTAATCCATCATCATGATTAATCTGATTAAAATTTTTAACGCAATTAACCCATCTGTAGTGCAGAATGACTCAAAATCCCTGAAATGTCTCTGTCAACCCATTTCGGACAGTTTTGGTGCATTCTGAAGTTTTGAAGCCGGAAGTGACGACAAGCACGCTCCCGTTTGTTGGAAATCTGAGAAATATCTCAGAGCAGCACAGAGGATCTCGAGTTTAGAATCAAAGATGGCTGCGCCCTTTATCAATAGAAGGGAAAGTTGTAGTTTTAAACTGTTTAAGCACTACTTCTCATTTGTGGCTCATTAAATCGTTCGCACACACTATATCGTCCAACTTATCTGTGGACGTGTTGCTACGGAGTTTTATATGTAAAGCACCACGCGTAATGTGTTATCAACTGATATTGCTAACAATGGCAATTAATCAGGCTAGAATTGGATTTCATGATTAGTCGGATTATTTGTCGGATTTACGGTAGTTTGGGCTAATCGTAAGTGAAAGAAGATAAAGACCATTTAAAATGAGGTACCTTATATCTGACAAGTTGTCGGGCTAAGCAAAAAATCTTGCTTTTTGATATGGGTCCATGGTATTGCATTCTGTGGCAGATGGATTGCATCCGACTTGTGTTCAAGATGTTCAGTAAACATGTTAAGTGCATATATATTCCCTTTTTTCTTGAATCTGTTTGCTCATGCAATGCGATTAATATAGATTAAAAATGAATGATATTTAATCGTGATTAATCAAAATTAATCCACAGCAACCCTGTGATTAATCTGATTAAAAATTTTGACAGCACTAATATATATACACTCACCTAAAGGATTATTAGGAACACCATACTAATACGGTGTTTGACCCCATTTCGCCTTCAGAACTGCCTTAATTCTACGTGGCATTGATTCAACAAGGTGCTGAAAGCATTCTTTAGAAATGTTGGCCCATATTGATAGGATAGCATCTTGCAGTTGATGGAGATTTGTGGGACATCCAGGGCACGAAGCTCCC